TTTCCTGGCCCAAGCAGCTCCAGAAATTGGGACATAGTCTGGTTGGGGGTGGGGCTTGGGTCAAGAATGCCCAGCTAGTTTGGCCAGTGTGGCTCAGTGGTTGAGCGGTGACCCATGCACCAAGAAGTGACCAGTTCAATTCCTGGTCAGGACACATGCCCAAGCAGTGGGGGCGATTCCCAGTGGAGGGCATGCAGGAGCCAGCCAATCTGTTCTCTCTCATCCATGTATTTCTCTCACATGGATGTTTCAAACAATCTTTCTCCCTCTCTTTCTAAAAAAATTAAAACATTAAAAAATAAAATGCCCAGCCAAAAGATAAGCCTGCCCCAGGTCCCCCAGTCCTGAAGACCAAGCCTAGGGATGAGCCTTTGATGACACATGGCTTCTGGCTAAGGAGCATTCACTCGGGCTGTATCTGGGGCGGGTCAACTGCCCCGCCTCACCCCCGGTTCATCGGAGCCTTATTTTTGTCTGTCAGCGGCTGTGGTGGCAGCAGCTGCGGTGCATTTCCCCAGGTTGCTGATGCAGCCCAGCTGCGGTCTCCGCGTCTCTCCCCCTCATCTATGGGCTCATCACCCGCCTCCCTGGCCTGCTCCACGCAGACCCTATTCCCTGAAGTTACTCGGTTCTCGATCTGCGCCGGGCGGGTGACTCAAGCCCACGGTTCTCCTGGGAGCTGTGGCACGGCACGCGTGCACCGGCCCTCTCCTGGGGCCCTGGACCTCGCAGCGCTTCCGGGTGTGGGCGTCAGTCCGTACAGGCAGGGCCTCGGCGGAGGGTGCTGCTTCTGCCCTTTCTCACCTAGCCGCTTCCGCCCGGGAGAGGGGCGCTGAGATTTGCTCCAGCCTTTGGCACAGAGGGGTCCGTCCCTCTCAGCCTGGCCAGTCATTCCCAGGACTGGGGGTGGGAGAAGGGGGGGAGGATATTGAGACAAAGAACTTCCCTGGGACTGTGAGTCTCGGGGTGTATGTAAATTTGTGTGGGGGCAGGAGGAGGCTGAGTATTCCACTACTCCCCACCCCAGCCGGCACATCCCGGGCTGGCAGCGGTTACAAAGAGCTCTGTGTGAACCAGTGTAAAGGGAGGGAAAGAACTCACAAACTGGAGGCCCTAGAAATAACGAAACTAAAATTTCGGTATCTACATCGGTTCGTTCTGCAGTAATGTTTTCTGAAAGAGCAAATCCCAGAAGTGTGGGAGATATATGGATGTCTCAGGCCAAGCCCCTCTGCCCGGAGTTTCCTCCCTAAACTTCCACTTCTCATGCTGGCTAAAGGATAGGGGTGGGACATGGGGTGGTAAGTACATCTCCACCACGGGGTTATTCTGACCCTTAATACCCCCTACACACACACATACACACACACACACACACTTCAGAGGAGTGCCTGGGGCAAGAAATCCCAAGACTAAAATTGGTTTATTGAGATCTCCCTACCAAGAAGAAGGGTTAATCTGGGGCAGGCCTGGGTAGAGGAAGGCACCAAATGAGAGGCTGAGGAGGGCAGGGTGGGTGAGCCGTGTGGTGTCAGGGAATGAGAAAAAGTGGAGGTGACAAGGAAAGGGAATAAGGTTGGAGATAAGGTGGAGAGATGAGGAAATGGAAATCTGAAAGGGGGTGATGAGAGGAGGTGTGAAGGTCTTTAAGAGGGAATTGAGCCCAGCCAGTGTGGCTTTGTAGATTGAGTGGCATCCTATGGACAGAGAGGTCCAGGTTTGATTGCCTGCCAGGGCACATGCCTGGGCTGGATCCCCAGTAGGGAGTGTGCAGGAAGCAGCCCATGGATGTATCTCTTACATGATGCTTCTATTTCTCTTTCTTCCTCTCTCTCTCAAAAAATCAATAATACCGTATATATATATATTTTTTTATTTTTTATTTATTTATTTTTTTAAAGAGTAGCCTGGTCAGTATCGCTAACTGGTTGAGCATTGACCCATTCACCAAGAGGTTGCTGGTTTGATTCCCGGTCAGGGCGGTGCCCAGGTTGTGGGCCTGATCCCCAGTGGGGAGCATGCAGGAGGCAGCCAGTCAATGTTCTCTCTCAGCAATGTTTCTTTTCTGTCTCTGTCTCTCTCCCTTTCCCTTCCTCTCTCTCTAAAATCAATAAAGAAAAATATTTTTTAGAAAAAGTAAATTGAAGCACCTTCCTGAGGAAGTGAAAATTGGAACGTGGATATCTCTACTTGGAAAGGGAGCGAAGACTGCTAAGTGTCTGAAAAGAACAATGAGGGAGATCTGAGGGAGACTTGAGAGATTGCTTGAGAATGCTGGGAGAGGAAAACCATCAGAGGGTTGGGGGTGGACAGTGGTGAATGATTATTTCGATTGCTCTGGGAGGGACCCAAGGCAGGGAGGGTTGGCCTGTGTGGGGGGAGGAAGAGGCGCACATCAGGGAGCACTGGAGCCTGTCAGGCTCCCAAACAAGGGTGGGGGAAGTCTATGAGACAACTGAGGGCCCCCCAAGCCCAGAACCCAGGTTTAATCTCTTAATCTTCCTCATTAATCACTCACCCTCCTCCTACCCCCTCAGAGGATCCGAGGATCCGGTTTCTCCCCAGCTCAGGTTCCAGAGGCTTCGCTGGGAAAAGTCCCCTCCTGTGGCCCCACAATAGTCTGGACAAGTCACTGGCCGCTGGGAAGACCTTAGTTGGGCTCTGCTGTCAGCAGCTTCCTCCTATTACTAGTCTCTCCTCCCCCAAATTCACATCTGGGGATCACCTAACCCCATTGTCCAACTTCCCTCTCCTCCCCCAAATTCACATCTGGGGATCGCCTAACCCCATTGTCCAACTCCATTACCTGAGCCTGATTGCATGGCAGAGAAGGTAGGCAGGAGAGATGGAAGGGGAGGAAGGCAAAGGCCCTGCAGGAGAGCCCCACACTCCCCACAGACACACACTAGTTATTGAGAGCAAAAGAGATGACAAAAGCTACATAGACAATGTATGAGTGAAAGTTGTAGTGTCTGGTGACAGGCCTGGTACACGTGCCAGCCAATCTCCGCATCCTCCTGGGACCCTCTTTAATTTCAGATTAAATGAAACCACCAGGATGGTTTATAGGGCTAAGGCCTCCAGCTAGAAGGATCTCTCCCAGACTTCCCCTGCCCCCCACCATGAATAACCAATTAACAAGGTCCTAAGGCATCAGAGTTTTCTGCTGTGTCCTGGCTGTGCTCTCTGACCCATTGGGCTGTGTTGCTCAGGCTGCCACAAGCGAGCTATGTGAGTGTCTGCGTGTATGGGGGATGGGGTGGTCATTGGAGGGAGCCTTTACCAAGAAAACCCTGTGTTTCTCCACCTTTGTTGGGTAGGCCAGGTCACTACCTCAACATGAGGTTCCCTAACAACCCATGATCAAAGTGTCTTCCTGCCCTTGTCAAGGAATCTTTGGCTCAGGTACCTTAGATCTCCCAAGTTCTGTTCGGGGTACCACAACTACAGGTTCCACTTGCCCCAGGGAATAAAGAGGTGGATCCAGAAGTTTACTGCATAAATGGTAGGAGATGCAGAGGTTTACAGAGAATTTGACAGAATGAACAGTCCAGGAGGGCCTGCTGCTTCATGGTACTTTTCCAAAAAAAAAAAAAACTAGGAGAAACTCACAGCTGAGAGTTCCTTCAGAGTGTGAGTTCCTCAGGAGTGGTGGGGCTTCTCTGTCTCTGGGCTGTGAATCCACTGGCTACTTGGGGTGTGATATATGAACAAAAGCCTTGCCTTGTTGGGCCTCCACTGGTGGATCAGTGCTGTCCCAGAATTGCCTTTTTCCGACAAAGGAGGGCTGTGGAGGTGCTCACTCCGGTGTGAGCCCTGTACTAGATTAGCTGTGGGAGAGAAGAGAAAGGAGAATGGCACTCAGGGCACAGGTAAGATCGGAATGACTATCCCAGGCCTTTGAGTTTGTCCCTGGCTTGGCAGGGGTTTCTGTCTCAGAATCTGGTTGGGTGTATGAACTCCGCCTTTCAAGTCACTCTTCTATAGGGCAGTGACCAGTGGACCCCTCCCACCACTGCTCTTGCTTTAGGGTTCCTGGGCCTCCTCAGGCTGGGGAACCCCTACTGGGACTACAGGAGCTTAATGAGGAGACAAAGACATCAACTGATAGACTGATGTGTAACCAGAAGGCCCTCTGTGGATGCCAGTCTTTACAGGCAAAGACCCTTCCTGGGCCGTAACGCTAGCTCTGGGTTTGCGGTGTCTTCTCTCCTGAAGGCCAGGTCTCCGGTGCTTCTCCATGTGTTTTTGCTTCCTCAGGGCTTCTTAGCCGTGCTGGGACAGCCTTGGGTCCAGCGCAGAGCAGGCTGGAGTCCACTCACCTGCGCGGGCTTGCGCATCGCATACCCTCTATTCCCGGTTGTAGTCGCTCTGCCGGGCCAGGTCATTCCAAGTCTTGAGTCCCTTCAGCCCCGGTGCCGTACTAATAACTTCCAGCCGCCAGGACCTCTTCAAGATCTTTCAGCAGGGGTGGGGCGGGGATGAGGGGGCCAGGTCAAGAGACTGAGTTCCATCCTAGGTGGGATGGGGATCTTAGCACAGTCAACTCTGATTTCGGAATTTTGCAAATCCCCGACCGCTGTGACCAGGGAAAGCAATTTTATTGCCGAGTTTATGAGCCCGAGCGGCGGCTAGGCGGGGAGTCTGCGGCACACAGCCTCCAGGGGCCGCCCAGGAAGGGTCCTGCCAGAGTGAGCACCGGGCCGCCCCCGGCAGCGCAGAGCAGCCCGGCGGCCAGGTCTGGCGGATTGTTTGGTGAGCTTCTCTGCGCGCCTCCATCGCCTGTAGAAACACAGCTGCCGGGACATCTACCAGCTCCAGACCTACGGTGGCCCAGGGTTAGGGAGTGGGGGCGCAGGAGGAGGGGCACACGGGGCTCGGGCCCAGCGTGGGGGGCGGGTCCGAGGCCGGGGGCCCAGATCGGGAGCCGCGCGCTGGGGCCCAGGGCAGCTACGGAGCCGAGCACAGCGGGCGGCAGGACCGCCACAGCCCGGCCGGCCATGAGCTCGGGACCCGAGCCCCGGACAGCCCGGACACCCTTCAGCATCGCAGACATCCTAGGCCCGAGCATGGTCTCCCGAGGACCCTCTGTGTCGCAGCTTCCAGAGTCGAGCTCAGGTCCTACGTCTCCGCTGTGCGCGCTGGAGGAGTTGACTAGTAAAGCTTTTCGCGGACTTGACGGGCTCGCTCTGCAGCCCTCTGAAGGTACAGCGCCGGTTGGGTCGTGCACTGTGACTTGGCCTTCTCCCCATCTTTCTCCTCCGAGTTCCCGGGCTCCACCTTTGTTCACCCTGACCACCACCCTAATCTGCCTCCTGCCCTCAGCCCACGTGCCGGGGCTTGCATCTCCCGCTCCTCTCCTCCCCTCCGTTAGTTCCCAGGCTCCGCGGCTGCTCCTGAAAGTCGCCAGCGCCGAGGGGAAGGGCCGGCTGTCAAGAACTGAGCGACCCGTTGGTCCTTTCGCTGTAGGCGGGGCAATCGCGACAGAAAGGCCAGAGAAAAGGAGACAAAAGGCCTGAGCCGGAGGCTGTACACGAGTGAGCTAGGGCAAGGGAGGCTAGAAAGTGCTGGGAGGTGAGGCTTGGGCCTCTCCGGGTAAACACGCTCCACTCCAAGCCCTCTCTTCTCGAGAGGGCGCAAGGAGCTGAAGAACCTTGGAACTGCAAGGGCCTTAGGACTCCGAACTCTGCCTTTCCTTGCCCCTTGTACCCCCACTACCTCCCTTTCGTGCTCGGGGTGGAGGCGGGGGGGTGGGAGTGTCACTAAAAAAGAGTAAGCCGAGAGTGCCCGACAAGACCCACAAGCCTGAAGAAGGGCCTGATCCGGATCCTGTTACACTCACCATGCCGGTCAGCTGTCCCTACCCTGATCATGGTTGGCCCCCACCTCTGGTGCTGGCCCCAACATGCAAGGTGGCTCAGACTCCGGAAGGCCTCAAAGGCCCCGCGCCAGACAGCCTGACCCTGAACCATGCCTCCTTTGGCCTGTCCCGCCCTCTTCCCACTCTTCTCACAAGATGCCCTCAACCTGCTGCCTCTTGTACCCCAGGGGCAGGTTCCACTTTGTGCCCCCACCCCCTTCCTCGGCCTGACCCTCACGCAGTTCTTTAAGAGACCACGGTCTAGCTCCCGTCTCTTCACCTCCACCCTGGCCTGACTCTACCCCTGGATTTTCCTTCGGGGCCAAAGCCCGATTTCCGCAGGCTCTGGAGACTGACCCATCCCCTATCCTATCCCCGCAGGCCGCGCGGCCCCGGGTGCTCTGGGCCCCGGTCGGGCCGGCCGCCGACGGCGAAAGTCACGCACGGCGTTCACCGCCCAGCAGGTGCTGGAGCTGGAGCAGCGCTTCGTATTCCAGAAGTACCTGGCGCCGTCCGAGCGCGACCGGCTGGCAGCGAGGCTCGGCCTGGCCAACACGCAGGTCGTCACGTGGTTCCAGAACCGGCGCGCCAAGCTCAAGCGCGACATGGAGGAGATGCGCGCAGATGTGGCCTCGCTGCGCGCGCTGTCGCCCGAAGTCCAGGGCCGCCTCACACTGCCTGACTCCGGGCCCCACCTGTCAGACGAGGAGATACAGGTGGACGATTGAAGACAAAGCAACCGCCCTGGCTCCGAGGCCCTGGACTTCTCACCTCCGCGCCTCTGCACTCCGCGCGCTGTCCGGGTTGCAGATGGAGGGCGGGTGTCGACCCCAGCCTCCTCCAGCTCACAGTGTAGAAGCCCACCTTTCCTAGTTGTTGAGAATAAAGTGGAGACTCCACCTCACCGCGCCTCAATCCCGCGCCCGGAGCACAATCTGCTGGTTATTTCGGGTATTCCTTGCTTGGCACTGGGCGGAGCGGTTTTCTTTAACCCTCATAGCAACCCTACAAGGTAGGTGATATAATTAGGGCCATTTTACAAAGGAAGAGCCCCTAGGTCAGGATTCGGTCCCAGGCATCTAGCCAGCCTTCAGAGCCCCGGAGACTCGGAGACTCGGAGACTCGGGAGACTCGGAGCCAAGCGGAAGAGGGTGGAATTCTGGTAGCTGCTAGCGGACCTCCCCTATTAGTTGCCTTGGTCCCAGGACTCCGCGCCTTTGATCCCTTGCAGCCTCGGAGACCTCACTCCTAACCTCAAGCCCGGCCCCAAATTGACGACGTCATGCCTGACTCTTTTCTCTTTCCCAACCCTGAAGTCATTTGTAATGCAATGCCGACTCTTTTTCCCTCCCCTGCCCAAAGAACTCTGAGTCACAAAGCGATGCGTGCCATGAGAGAGGAGACACCCCTACTTCCGGGACCTCCACCCCATAATTGAGCGTTAAATGTTCTTATTTGGACAGTGGCAGAGGCTGTAGTGGGAGGGTGGGATGGCCCGGCCCCGCCCTCAAAGGCGGAGCTTGGGGTAGCTGCCTTGCGGAGTGGAGACCCCAGCCCACCTGGGCTGGCATACAATTCTGAGATTAATTTATTCCGCTGGTGATTCATCACCCTCCTGCAATATGATGAGGAGGGAAGATGCGCACTCGGTAGCTACAGAGCTTCCCCTATGCCCAGCCTTCCCAGCTGATCAGCAGACTATGCTTAGGCTCTTTTCTGCATCCCCTCTCTCCCATTTCAGTCCTTCCTTTACCCTCCCCAGATCTTCCCATGCATCTGCCCAGGTACCACAATCCTGCTCTCAAAGGTTCCAGGGGGCTCAGCCAGCGCCTCAATTGCAGGTGGAGGTCCCAGGAGAGGATATTTAAGGGAGGGTGAACAAGGCTGGAAGGCAGAGGGGAACCTGGCATTTTCAGATAATAGCTACCCTTTATTGAGCAGTTCCAGGTGACTTGCATGGACTAATCTTCACTATAACCCCATGAGATACTGAGGCTTTCATTTCAAGGATAAGGACACTGAATCACAGAAACCCAAGGAAACTTGGTCATGTCATGAAGATTCTAAGTGGTGGGACTGGGACTCACCTACTTGTCTGACTCAGGAGCTCATGCTTTTGACCACTATAGGTTCTGTCCCTATAACTGTGACTGGAACTAACTGAAAGAAAAGAGATTACAGAGGGAGGAGAAGGGCCAAGGGTGTAAATTAGGCATTGTACTGTAGACAGGGCCTGGTCCTTGGAGGTTTTAGAGGTGGGGCAAGAGAGCAATGTTTAGGGCAGGCTAGCCTGCAGGCTGGACCAGAGACTGAGGAAGTAGAGTATTTCTGGCTACTGCAAAAGGTAAAAGCAGAGATAATCCAGGCGCAGTCTTGGAGGGGTAGAGCAGGAAGTTGTCAGAAAAGAGGAATCAGCCCTGGCCAGCTTGGCTCAATGGTTAGAGCTTTGGCCAGCAGACCAAAGAGTCATGGGTTCCGTTGCGGCTCAGTCCCAGCCCTGGTCAGGGTCGTACAGGAGGCAACCAACCAATGTGTCTCGTCTCTCTCTGTCTCCCCCCTCTCTCTCTCTCTCTCTCTCTCTCTCTCTCTCTCTCTCTCTCTCCCCTCCCACCCCCACTCTATCTGAAGATGAATGGAAACATATCCTCCAGTGAGGATTAAAAAGAAAAGAGGAATCAGTGTGATTCTCCCAGTGAAAAAAAATTGCATGAGTCAGTGACAACTTTGCAAACCTGGGCAACTGAAAGAAAAATAGTGTCATGGACAGAAATAGACAATGACAACAAGGGTAGAGCTAAGAATCTGTCAGCCATTATGTACAAAAAAAAAAAAATTCTCTGTACCCGTGTTGCCCCTTCAGTGCACATACACAACACACACATACCTCCCCTGGACCATTCCCTTGCTTATTCCCTTTATCCTCTCCTAAAGTCCTCTCCAGAATTTTTAGATTAGGGTGACCAACTCATTCCTGTTTACCCAGGACTTTCCTTTCCAGTTTTAGCACTGAAAGTCTCACACCCCAGAAAATCCCCCAGTCCCAGGAAAATCAGGATGGTTTATCACTCTGCTTTCTAGCCCTGGGGACTCAGAACTCAGGCTGCTGGGTCAGAACCCCACCAGTTAGCAGTATGAGTATGGGAACAAAGTGTGAGGAGTCCTGTGGCTCTTGGAGAACATTCAAGTCCAGGATAGGGATGGGGCATTTTTTTGAGAGGCTGGAAGAGCGAGGAGCCAGCTCAGTCTGAAAGCAAAGATACCACAGAGTAGTGGTAGGCAGCCATTCTTCGAGAGGCCAGGAGCCTTAGCGGAGTCTCCAAAGTAGAGAATTCCCCCAGAACAAGGTCAGATGAGCAGGTTTCTGGTGGTGTCACTAATATAATCACCCCTAACCAATAAACACCTCTCCCCAACCCCACTCCCTAACCAGGCATAAGCAAAAAACTTCCAGGGCCAATAATTCTACTTAGGAAGGTAGAGGCCAGTCAAGTTGATTGGTTCTGAGCCATAACCCTCCTCCACTTGAGGAAACATAAATTCTAGCCCAGCACTGCCACCTCTTGTAATCAAGACCTGAACAAACAAAACTCAAACCTGTCCTGTCAAAATGGCCTCTGGATGGGTACATCAGGATTACCTGGAAGACTACTGAAACACAAATAGCTGGGCCCCTGCCATGCAGATTCTGATTTAGGTCTAGGGTGGGGCCTGAGAATTCGCATTTGTAACAAGTTCCCAGGTGACACTGATGCTGCTGGCCCAGGGACCACACTTTGAGAACCACTGTCCCAGGGACTCTGTATTTTGTGAAATAAGCAGCAATTCACTCATATTCCTCTCTTCCCACCAAGGGAATCATGAATACGGACAACTGCAGATAAAAGTTGGTTTATTTAACAGTCACTATGTACCAAGCACTTGGTATTTTCTCACTTTCTCCTTCAGTCCTTGCAACAGCCCTGCAAAGTAGGGATTGTACCCATTTTACAGATGAGGGAACTGAGGCACAGATGTTGTGAGACATGCCCAAGGTGACCCAACTAGTAATGATAGATTTCATCCTATTATATAGTTTCAACACTTTCTGTCTCCAGGTATGAATGGTATTGAGCAAGACCTGTAAGGCAGCAGGAATCAATAATCCTGATGAATAGTTCCTCTTGAGAGGGCATTCTGGGAGGCCTAAAAGTCCCCTTAAGATCCACATTTAAATGAGCTGAGAGTCCCAGGCTAGGAAGGAACAGTCAGGGCAGCTGCCAGGATCTCAGAGAAAGGAATTCATGATTCTTACATAGAAAGTAGAGAATTACAGCCATCTCTGGGGGAAATGACCCTTGATGGAAAAACTGAGTAAATGCAGTGCTGGACTGGAGAAGAGCATGGCCAAGGTAGCAGCAGCCTGGGTGCCTGCTGAGGCCCCATCAGCAGGAGAGCCAGCAGTGGGGATGTATAGGGTCTGCCAGCTCCAGGTAGCAGCTGGTAAGGGAATTCCCAAATGCAAACCCTTGGCGAATCTTCTCGCAGTCGGAGGAGGTGAGCATCAGACCACTGGGTAGAGGATAGGTCAGAATGTGCACAAAAATGAGAACAGGAAACAAAGCATGAGGGGCTAGGGCGAGAGAAAACAGGACAAGAACTGGGATTAGAAGTGGTGAGCATCCATTAAGGTGAAGGGCGGGACCCAGCCTTATTCATCGCTATGACCCCATTCCTGAGCAAAGAGCTCTGGCTAGTGAATGAGTTCCCCAGGGCCAAGAACAGAGCAAGACCCAAATGGCCCCTGCAGGGTGTATTATAGTTTTAAAACCTGAACTTTTGTACTTGTATGGTTCCCTTCTTGAGCCTTGGTGGATTTTATTTTTCCTTATTGCCCCCAGAGGAAGCCATTGCTTGAGAATAAAAGAAAGGCTGTTTTAGTGGACATGGAGCTCCTTTTCCTCGTCGGGTTTCTGTGGCAAGAGGAATGACTACCAGGGGTGTCCCTAACTATGGTTTTGGAGTACAAGGTCTCAAATTATGCAGGAAACAGCCACCACACAGTGTCCCTCATCCCTGTGGGATATACACATGGCTTTGTCTTATGAGGGACAGGTCTTCCCTCATCTGGCCTGAGGTAGATGCTGGGGCCCAAGTCCCAGGATGTCCCAGCTTTTTGAGGGGTTCTGGAGACAGACAGGAAGTCTTCTACTCTGAGTCTGGGGGAGGGGCTGGTTGGAGAGGCTCCGCTGACAAGGTGGATAATGTAAGGGTGAAGACAGAAGGCCAGGGGCCCTGGGAGCAATGCTTCGAGGGTGACTGAAGGAGAGGAGGCCCGAGGCTGCTGGCTCAGTGTGGGAAAATGGCTGGGGGAATCCAGTCGGCGGAGTTGGCAGAGGTGGCCCACGGTATCCTCCTCTCTGATCCTGCTGAGAAGGAAAAGGGAAGGGCATGTGATATACTCCTTTCTAGTAGTGCAGCCCCTGCCCCTCATCCCACCCATTCCTGCCCCCTTGCCCCACTGAGGCAGAAGGTAGCACTGCTTGATGTTGCAATCACAGCCAATTCTCCCTGCTGCCCCCTCAGCAAGAGTAGTCCTGGTTCCCTTACCATAGCAAGCCGCAGAAGACAAGAGTGAAGCTCCCGAGCTGCATCAGGCTGGGACCCACCTCTTAGAGTCTCCTGGAACACAGCAGCTGCCTCCTCAAAGCGCTTTGGTCCCAGAGTGATTAGAAAGAGGAAAGTGTAGGGATGAGGAAAAGGAGGGGTCAAGGAGCTTGAAAGGGACCCCTTTCTCAAACTGGCCCCAGCTCCTAGTATCACTGACATTGTGGTACATAGAGCTTTCCTAGAAAATGTAGACCCAACCCCCGCCCCATCCCACCCAAATTCTTCTGTTGCTTCCAATGTCAGATCCATTACCTGAAGTCCCATCAAGGCCTTGCCTAGGCGGAAGAGGCCCCGGGGCCAGCCAGGCTGCAGGGTAAGGGCCACCTGGGCATCAGCCAGGGCCTGCACTGGCTGACCCAGCCGCTCATGGCAGAAAGAGCGATTTCCAAATAACCTGATGAAGAAAAAGTGACCAAAAGTATAAGTCCTCAACACCCTGCTTTGCCCTGACCTCCCAACACAATGGCCAAGCCCCCACCTACCGGTGGTCCCGGGGGTTGAGCTTCAAGGCCTGGGTGAAGAGGACCACAGCCTCATTGTAGAAACCATTTTGGGCAAAGCCAGTACCCAACTCTGGCAAGGAGAGAGGGTGGGGAGGTTCAGATGGGGCTACTCCAGGGAGGGTGGGGTGAGGAGGGAGAGAGAGTCTTACTTGCCAGCTCCTGGCTTCGCTCTATGGCAGCTTCCAGAAGTCCTGGAGATGCCTAAGGACGGGAAGGGAAGAAAAGTCAAGCAAGACTTGAGTCTTATCCTCCCCAAATTCTTCTTTTTTGTTCAAACAATTAACATACAATTAGGATCAACCAACTCATGTAATTCTCATGATTGGCAAGATGCTACCAGTCCTACCTTCCTGCAGCAGAAACCACCCAGGGTCAGGATATCAGTGATGGAGCTTGACCCCAGGTCTCTTAAAACCTGTGGCCAGAGAACTCCTTCTATTGGTCACTGCCCTCAACCTTCAGAACATGTGACTTTCCAGAAACCTCTGGCACCCCTTCTTCCCACCTCACCTCTGCCTTAGGACCCTTCCTGGGGCTCTCTTCTCTTGGAGAGTTCCCTTCCTCCTGGCTCATCTTCTCCTGAGTGGCCAGGCTCTTGCCTTGGGGCTCCTGGCTTAGTTCCTTCTCTCTGAGGGCACTAAGGGGCCAATCGCCAACCTTGCGCAAAGCCAGAGACACGAAAGTGCTGGAGAGATCCAGTGCATCCTGTGAGCAGAAATGAAAGGTAGGGATGGGGTGGGGATGAAGTATATCCTGGAGTAGGGGGTAGTAGGGGTGGGCAGAGACCAAGAGGGGAAGAAAGGGCCTCTCACCTCTTCCTCACCACACTGTCCCTGAGCTGGGTTCCCGGGGCTGGATGGGGGGCTCCCATTCCCATCTGGGGTGGCCTCAACCTGGAGGGAAGGTAAACAGGTACAGAGTTGAGATGGCCTGGAGTCACATGCCTTGTGATTCCCCACCTTTCTGGCACTTGGTGCTCTTAGTATCTGCCTGTAGACACTCACCTTGTGCGCCCTACTGTCCTGCTCCATGCGCTCCTGTCGCTTTCGGTCTTTTTGGCGCTATAACAATGATAATGATGATGTACTTTGAGCACTATACTTAAACACACATACACACAAATTTGTATCTTGAGACCAATTCTTCATGTGTAGAATATATACTCTATGTCACATATGTACAGGCTAAGAGTTTTGCATACACTGTCTCCCTCTTTGAGGGAGGTGTTATTATCCTCATTTTACAGGTGAAAATGCAGACCAGGGAGTTATCAGGCAGACATCTCACAGTAAGCAGGAGGCAGATTCTAACCCAAGCATTACAGTGTGGCCCCAGAACAGCAGTACCACATGGCCTCCAGGAGACCTTCTGTTCCCTGTACCTCTTGGGCCCCTGGCAAGAGGATCCACTGTGGGCCACCTTGAGTTCGCTCCTGTTCTCACGAAGTGTCCCTCTTGCCCTCCCCCAAATCCCTCTGGGCTCCTATTCCTTCTGCCCTCTAGCTACCTTCTTCTTGAGTCGCTTCTTCTCTGCTTTCTGTTTCATCCGCTCCTCCTCAGCCACCAGCTCCTCAGCCAGGCGGTTGGCTTCCTGGAGGAGGAAGGGTAGTGACAGGAAGAGAGAGACGAGAGAGAAAGCAAGAGAGACAAGCAGTATGAAAGGATCTTGAAAGGTCCAGATTAGGGGAGAATATAGATATGGGAATATGGGGGTTGGAAGAACCCTGGGGGGAGGTGAAGCCTCATATAGACGGTCTCACCTCCTCTGTTGGCAGGAGCTTTTGGGGCATGGCCACCTGAAGCAGGCTGTCTGAGCTGCTGGAGAGGGCTGAAGAGGCAGAGGGTCTTTGAAGGCAGGGCTTAGACCCTTGGGGAGGGCACAGGAAGGACTTTTGGAGACCACAGTAGGTGCCCAGTCCCTCAGCCCCCTTCCCCCTGTCACTCTGTCTAGTCGTTGTCCCCTCATCACAGAATTGGTCCAGGAGGTAATCTGACAGGAGGGAGAAAGAAAAGGAAAGAAAGAACATGAGAGAGAGGAGCATCTGAGGGCCAGCCCTCCCCAGGGTACCAGCCTTGATCCCTGGGCCCGGCCCCTTCACTCCCCACCATGGTGCCACAGCTGCAGCCGCCCGCTGCTCCCATCCACACGGATCCGGTGCAGGCCCTGGGGATCACTCTCCACCAGCCGTCGAAGAAAATCCACTATGTCCTGGGAGGGGAGGGGAAGGGAGGGTGGGCTGGTGTTGGGGGAGAGCTCTGAGAGAGCAAGGGGCTTGGCTGGGTTGACCCCTCCACCATGGCAACCACAAAGCAGCTACCCAGCCTGGAGAACCTTACTGGCCCACCTCTTCCCGCCCAGCACTTCAAAACACAGAAGCTCTCGGCTTTCATGATGTATTACCTCAACTCACTACTGCCCTACCTTCCCCAAGGGTTGAGTGTGGCTTTCAGCCCAGCTTCTCAACCATCCAGTATCTCCTCCTCTTGTCTTTCCACTAGGTCAGCCACTAAAATGAAGTCCTACAATGGAGTCCTCTTACCTGCTCTTCCAGTTATGCCCCGTCATATCCTTGAATATGAACAGCCCCCATAACCCACCTGGAGCTACCTCACGTTTAACTGAGTGTAGCAATTCCTGGTGGCCTCTCCCCTGCACTTTGTCTCTCCCGCAAACCAAGCTCTCAACAATTACTCCCTTACTGAGGAACTTCCAGTAACCCCCCACTGCCAGGGCCACACACTAGCATCTAGCTCCTCAGCCTGGGATTTGGAAGCTTCCAAAAAGCTCCCTGACAGACCTTTCCAATCTTCCTTTGCCATCCTCCCTCTGCCACCAGGCTCCTTCCAGCTGCGGGGTTCTCCCGCAGTGGTCCTCGAATCCCTCCTAGCTCTGAACTTCTTTCTTACCACATCTTGTCTCAACTTCAAGGTCCAGTTCAAATTCTACTTCCCCTCAAAGACTTCCCAGACCATCTCCAATTATCTCTACCCTCTCTCAACCAAGCTGTGCTCCCATAGACTGTGTTAAGCAATTTAGAGCCATACTATTCACTGCTTTTTCCTGGTCCCTTGATTGGTGAGGCACATGGAACTGGAAAAAGCACTGTGCTGGAACAGAGCTACTTGCATCCTGCTCTGGCTTGGCCACTGCCTGGCTGTTTGAGTTGGGATAAGTTGTTTAATTTCTCTGAACCTCAACTTCCTCATTCACAAAATGAGGCATGATTCTTCAAGGCCTAGCCCGTACATTCTGTGGTTCTGATGAGACTCATTTTCTCAGTCAGTGTAAGCTAAGAAGGACAGGAATCATCACGTCCCTATATGGCTAATCAGACCTAAACAGAGCAAACCTTGACTAGGTCTGTTGCCCACTGAGAAACTTAGAAGCCACATGAAACTATAGAGTGCTAAAACAATGCATAGGCAGGACCTCAGATCTAAACAATTTTAGCCCAGGGCTCCCCCCAGGAGACAGTCTTGACTCAACAGCATCTTCATTTACATTGCAGGGCACTTTTATCAAGTCTTATTCTCAAATTCAATTTCCTGGTGGGTTTATTTCAACTTTCAAAACTACAATTTATGCATAAATAATGCATGCTCTGGACCTATTCTAGGCAGCCTCCCCAGAATGATGTGCCCACCATTCAAATATAGATATCTTTCCCTATATCTTCAACCTCTTTCTTCCTCCTCAGCCCAATCTAGCCATCTAAAAAAAAAAAAAAAAAAAAAGACTTCTTTGACCTTCCACCTCTCCCCCAAACACATTCTAGCTACTGTCTTAATTCACTATCTGGCCACACATGACTTGCCCCCCACGCCCCAAAACCTTCATGAATCATCTCCTACCCTCTTGTCACCCTCCTCCAGCTACAGTGATCTTCTCTAAGTTCCTACAACACACCAAGTGCACTGAGAAGCTTCACTTCTAACATCTCAGGGCTTTTGTACTTATTTCCTCTGCCTGGAATGCTCTTTCCCCAATGAATGGCTTAATCTTTTGTCCCCTTCAGATCTCTGCTTCAACATTCATAGAGAGGCTTTCTATGGCCACTCCTTTTAAAATAAGGAATCTCTCAACTCTACTCAGTGCTCCCTATCCTCCTTCTTGCTTTATTTTTCTTTGCACTCCTTATATTTGACATACTGTGTTGTTTATTTATTGATAGGTTGCTCCTACTAGATACTTCTAATCCACTTAAAAAAGAGATTTTTGTCTATTTAATATACTGTCTTCCCAGCCTAAAGCAGTGCCTGTTTTAGGTGCACAGTTGGTGCTCAATGAGTGTGTGCTGAATGAGCAAAGACAGAGAGGTTGGTGAGACTGTTCTAATAGAGATGCAGCCAGGAGCTGAAGAACTCTGTGACCCAGTGAGTTAGAACTTCCTCTTGTCAGTGATGGGAGTGGACCTGATATGGGAAATGAAATACTCAAATAAAACAGTACTGGGCAATGGGGGGGGGGAGGGGGAATCTGTAATATTTCCAACAATAAAAATAAAAGTGAATAAATAAATATTCTTATATTAGTTAAAAAAAAAATAGTACTGGGGAAGTTTAGGGGTGGAATGTTTAGTCACAAGGCCATCACAACTGTTCAGGCCAGAGAGAATATGTTCTCGAACTAAGGCAGTGGCCACAGAAGCAGGAATGGAAATGCTGGGTTTGATTCAAGAGACATTTCAGAAGTAGATTTTAGTGACTAAATATGTGAGGTAAAGGAAAGGGAGGACTATATAGAATGACTGTCAGATTTCTGGATTAAGCAACTGGATGGAAGTTTGTGTTATCAATCAAAACTAAGATTAGAGGAAAAGCAACCAATTTACAGAGGATGAATGAGCTCCTGCACTTGTGAGTTTGAGGACTTGAGAGATAACCGGGAAGCAGCTTCTCGGTGTTCCAAAACCGGATCCTGTCCCTCCCTGACAACCTGCCGCTACCGGAGAACATCCAAACCCAGGGTTGGGCAAGGCCTTTCAAGTCACTTGCTGCCTTCCTTCCCACCTTATCTCCCACAGTTCCAACCAAACCCTCCACTCGGGTTTCACTCCAGTGAAGTTCTTGGAGCTTTTCCGTGCCTTGGTGTCTTTGCTCTGCTCCCTCTTATCATCTTTTCCCAGGAGCTTCTACTCACTCCCCCGAGACCCTGGTCGGCCTCACGCTGCGCACGTCCAGCAGTTACCTTGGCCGCGTCCAGTGGGGCTCCGCGCCCCCCCTCCCCTTGCGGCGCGCCAGGGGCAGGGCCGCGGCAACGCCCCCCAGAGCCGCGGCGCTGGGCTCCCTCAGTGGTCGGGTGGGCAGAGCAAGTTGAAAAGAGGCATGACAAGCGTCAACAAGGCGAGGGGGAACTAGGAGCCCCCTTTACCTCATCACCGTAGTCCTCGGGACCGAATTCCTTGCAGAGTCTGGGGACAGCAGCGACCCCCAGCGGGCAGCCAGGCCGCAGAGGGCAGTCTACGGGAAAGGAGAGCCGCGGAGTGTCACCCGGAGGCATCGGCGGAGCCCTCAACCACCGCGTGGAGCTCGACATCCTACAGAAAACAGAGACCCGAGGGGCTGCCCCTGCCCTCCTGGACCCCCTCTCGTTCCGTCACACCTGCTCACCTAGCTTGATCCGCCCCACCGTCTTCGGAATCGGCGCCATCTCGTGTCCACAGTAACCCGAAAGTGAAAGACAGTCGTGTATTTGAAGTGGGCTGGAGGGGTGGAGGCGTGGGGGGTGAGAGGGCAAAGTGGGTAGCCATCTTTGTTAGGGGCAGAAGCCACCGACTACGGATCGCGAGAGAGTTCAGGACGGTCCGGGCGGCTGCGGGGCGAGACATGACGGCTCTTTGGGTGTGGCGGAGTCCGGGCCACGGCGGGCGTTGGGCAGTGCGGGCAAGTGGGGATTGTTAGGTTCGTCCTGGTCACGCCGCCCCATGGCACAGGCGTCCCACTCGGGTCGCCTTCTGCCTCCACTCGCTCCGGCGCCGCAGTTGTGGGCGCTAGCCGGGGCCGCTGGGGAGGAGCAGTGGGAGGCCGGGCGGGCGGGCGCTCTCGGCGGGGACGTTCGTGGCTGGCCCGGGCTGCCGGTTGTCCGGAGCATCCCCAGCTTCGACCCACAGCCCGGCGGAGCTCCGGGAGGGCGGTCGTGGTGGGCGGCGCTGGCGGACACGGGAGAGCACCATGAGGTGGGCGCTGCAGACCCGAGGCAGGAGCCCACCGCCGGCGGGTCGATGCCTCCTGCGCTGCAGCGTCTCCGGGTCGTGTTGTTGCGGCTGCACCGCGAGCGGGAGCAGCTCCTCCAAGCCCGGGACTGCGCCCGCCACCTACAGGCGGCCGTGCGCCTTTTGGGGATGCTGAGTCCCGGCTTGTGGAACCCTGGCCCCGGCCCCTTGCCTCAGCTGTGCCGAGACCTGCTGCCGCCGCTTTCCCGAATGGCAGTCCTGCGCTCCGGCCTTCGCGGGACTCCGGAGCCGCTACTCCTGGCGCGCCCCATGGGACTAGCTGCCCAGCGCCTGGATGCTGTCATCGAGATGCAGCTTCGTGCTCTGGGCCGGGCGCCCGCCGCCCCCGGCCTGTCATCCCAACTGTCTGGCCTGCTGCTGGCACTTCGCACCTACCATCAGGTGCAGGAAAAAGCCTTAAGCCACGTCCCAGGGGCAGCGCGTCCTTTCTCCCCAGCCCGAGTGCTCTGCCTCCTAACGGGGGAGCGGGGTTGCCAGGTGGCAGATTGGCTGAATGAGGCGCCCAGGGGATCGGACTTGGGGGACCAGCTCCGCAGGCGATGTTATGAGGAGCAGGAGCTGCTGCCAGGGCTCCTGAATCTGATGGAGGGCGTCGCAGGTTCAGCCAGCAGTGGACCAGGGCTTGGAGGGGCTGGAGCCCTTTGGAGCCAGTACTGGACCCTGCTATGGGCAGCCTGTGCTCAGAGTCTGGACCTAAGGCTAGGACCCTGGAGTGACCCCAGGGCAGCGGCACAACAGCTGAGTCAGGCACTGGATCAGGGTGAGTGGTGGGCTTGGGCATTTGGGAAGGCCGGAGTCTCTTCCTTCTCCCTAGTCACCTCGCTCACTTGCCAGCCAGACTACAAAAGAAAAGCAGGCCGTTTAGAATAAACACTTCTCCTCCTCTACCCCACCCCCATCCCCACAACCCTGGGATTCAGGCTTATTGCTTCTACGCTTCCAAGGCAAAGTCTTGCTTTCGTCTTGAGTCTTGGGGGGTGCATCCTTTCTTCCCCTATCATTGAGTGGGCAGTAGTTGTAGAAAATTGAGACCTTGTTTGCAAGCTCCAGAGTAATTTCTCCTACTAGCATCCCTGCCTCAGGAGTGTGAGAAGGAGCTGGCTTCTTTGTGTCATAGCCTATTTCATCAATCTCTTATCCGGAGCTGGGACCAAGGTGAGAAGGGGCACTGGGAGTGAAACAAACCCCAGTTGGCCTTTCCCTATTAAACCATACCCCCTCATCTTCAGTCTTCTGCCAAGTCTTGGGATCTGCTGGTGATCAGAGCAGCCTTTCTTCATCTTCTCATACCAGTGAACTTCTGCAACAGCTCTTCCCTCCTCTCTTGGATGCCCTTCAAGAGCCCAGGTCAGGGTTGCTCCTCCGTCAGCCTCCAGGTAAGACAAGTGGCTGGGGTTGGGGAAACAGAACTGTTGAGGATATTATCTTTATTCCCAAAGGTGCTCCATGACCCCTCAGATACTTGTCCCTCCTCTCCCAGGTCCTGTACCCCTTGCCCTGGGGCTCTGTGCCTTGCAGACAACCTTACTCTGGTTTGGAGGCAGAGCTCAGCAGCATCTGGCAGCATGGGCCCCAGGTTCCTTCCTGCTCCTGATTCATAAGGACTTACCTGTAAGTAGCTGGGGATGGGGAGGAAAGCAGCCTAGGCTGGGCTCAGACCTCACTCCCTGTTTCTGCCAAAGCCTCTGTTACACCAGGCAGAAGCTCTATCTAGTCTGGCCTCAAAGGAAAGCTTGGCCCTGGAGGTGGAAGAGCAGCTGGGCCTGGAAATCCGGAAGCTGACAATACAGATCCAGGTGAGGAAAGCAGGAACACTGACAGTGGCCAGATTTTGAGTGGGGTGGTGGTGCGGGGGGCTGGTACAGAACATCTCAGAGGCTTAGACTCTTTTTGGAATCTCTGCTAAATTTATCTTTTTTGCTTTGTTCATATTTATTTTATTTAACTTTTTATTATGGAACATTTAAAACATATACAAAAATAGAGAGAAGAGTATCACGGAACCCCATATATCTACCACAAAGGCTTTAACAGTGATCAATTCATGGTCAATTTTGTTTCATCAGTGTATCCCCCTCCATGTCAGGCTCTCATTTTGTCATGTTAACAGCCACTGATAATCATTGCCTAGATCCATGATTTCATTAGGGGTGCAAAGTGGTGAGATTCCAATTTTATCATTCCTTTTTCATTTATTATTTGGATTACTCCTATAAAGTGAAACTTGCCTTCATTAATTATTTGGTTACTCTGAAGTCTATTTTGTAGAGGAAAAACCAGATAAATGATTGAGTCCCTTTAAATATATTTTTACTGATTTTTTTAGAGAGAGATAGAAACATTGATGTGAGCCCTGGCCAGTCTGGCTCAGCGCTTGGAGTGTCAGCCTGTGGACCAGAGAGTCCTGGGTTCAGTTCCCGCTAGGGGCATGTACCAAAAAAAAACCAAAAACACATTGATGCGAGAGAGAAACATCGATGGGCTGCCTCCTGCATGCCCCCTACTGGGGATTGAGCCTGCAACCCGGGCATGTGCCCTGACCGGGAATCAAACCAGGACCTCTCAGTCCATGGGATGATGCTCAATCCACTCAGCCACACCTGCTGAGCTGAATCCCTTTATTTACTAGTTTTTAATACGTTTCTCGTCTTTTTTTTATATATATATACTCACCCGAGGATATTTTTCCATTTTTTGTTTAGACAGAGTGGGAGTGGGAGGGAGAGAGAGAGAAACATCGATGTGAAAGGGACACATCGAGTGGCTGCCACCCACACAACCAGCCAGGGCCGGGGACAAACTGTAACCAAGATGGGCTGTAGAGACCCCTCTTTTTTGCCATCTTCTCCCCCTCCAAAAACAAAACCTATCAAACCAAAGAAACCACACCAGCACATGGACTTTTTCTTACTTTATGGGTTACACTGCTCTGAAGAAATGCAAGTGGGCTGTCAGAATACTCAGTGTAAGGACATCCCAAAGGTTCCTGAATCTCAGAAAGTTACAGTCATTGCTCCTTATGTACGTGCAGTTCCTGCCTTCCTTTCATAGATGATGGCCAGGTATTGTACAATTCCCCTTTCTTCAGCCTTTCTTCCTATAGAAGAAAATTAACATGGAGGATTTCCATCCTCTGAACCAAGCTGGGGAGAACAGGATAATCCTAGGGCAATTGTCCATAATCTTCTCTGGGTCCAGACTCTTTGGAAAACCCAATAAAAGTGATGGTATCTCTCCTCAGAAAATTCCTGAGCCTATACAATTATGCATACAATTCTGTTCTTGAGTTTTATAGATGCCAGGTTAAACACCTCAGATTTAGAAGAGCATCAGAACTTGACAGGTCCCTAACAGATAAGCCCCTTTTACTTTCTCCCTGTCCCCACAGCTCCTCCCTGAAGAGTCACTAAGTCTCTTTTTTCAAGAATGTCATAAACAAGCTGCACAGGGCTTCGAACTTCACATGCCACAGGGTCGGTACTGGCGGCATCATCTCTGTTCTGGTAACTCCTTATTCCAGCATCCCCAAGGTTCCCAGGGGCTAAGAATATCCCAACCCCTCCAAATCCTGGCTCCACTCCTCCCCATCCTTGCCCTCACCTCCTGTATCCCCTTGCCCCCACAATGGAAATTCTACACTCTTCCCCCAGTCACTCTATTAGGTGCTCAATGGATCTCAGTAGCCTTATCCTGTCCTTTTTCTTCTCTCACTCCAGAACTTCCCCGTATTCCTAGTGAGTATGCTGGGTTGGTGGTCCGTACTGTACTGGAGCCTGTGTTGCAAGGATTGCAGGGTTTGCCACCTCCAGCCCAGGCCCCTACCCTTAGCCAGGCATTGACAGCCATCCTGGGTGCCTGGCTTGACCACATCCTCACCCATGGGATCCGGTTCAGGTGAGGAGAAAAGGTGGTAGTGGCAGGGGGCTGAAGGGAACTGGAAAAGGGGAAGGGATAAGTGGGGCAGAGCAGTTTAGGGAGACCAGAGGGTTAGGTGGCCACATTGTACCTTGGCCTTCAGCCTGCAGGGGGCACTGCAGCTTAGACAAGATTTTGGAGTGGTCCGGGAGCTGCTGGAAGAAGAGAGGTGGGGCCTGTCCCCTGAACTTCGCCAGACTCTGCTCATGCTCAGTGTCTTCCAGAGGCTAGATGGGGCCCTGCTGTGTCTATTGCAGCAGCCCCTGCCTAAGACTCAAGTCCACAGAAGGCCTTCCTGTTGCTGTGAGTCACCCCCCGCCCCCTTCTCAACTCCAGGTTCTTTGGGCCCTGGCTCACTACTTTAATTGCCCCATCTCCCATGCTTATCATTGATCTGGCTTCAGTGACCTCCCTCCCCTCCCAGCAGCCACTTGCCTTCCACTTCTGCCTTACCAGGTGCAGGTAATGAGGTCCAGACATCGGAATTGCCCAGCAGCAGCCTCAACAGCTTGGAGAGCTTGGAGCCCCCTCTTCAGCCTGGAGCACCCCCAACCCAGACAGCTCAGGTGCTAGGCACGCTATGGGGTGGGGGACCTAGCCCTCAGGCTTACCTGGTGGGAAATCAGCAGGCCTGGCTTGCCCTGAGGCAGCACCAACACCGCCCCTGGTGGCACTTGCCTTTTCTTTCCTGTCTGGAGACCACTCCTGAATCCTAAGGAATCTTATCATCAGCCCTTTCTGGCTGGGAAAGCCCAGATATTTGGAACCGCATGATAAAGAAGCATATAATTGGAAGCTTGGAAGAAAACATACCTGAGAACTACAAACTACACAGAGCCTGGACTTACAAGCTAAGAATCCAAGATCACACAGTACCTGGAATCCAGAGTAAATGGCAAAACCACAGCCTGAAACCTGGAGTTCAGCATCATGGGAGGCTCACCAGGCCTAATTCCCCATCAGCGAAGACATCGCAGGGTTAGACGCTGGGAGGTGGGCTACAGGGTTGGATCCCAGAGGAACAGAAAACAGAAACATCAATAGAAGCCAGAGAGCCTAGATGCCACTTCCTCTTAAGGTCCCAGAGCCAGGCCAAACACAAAGTTAATACAGGAATCACAGAGGTGAAATAGTCATTTCTGCAGCTGGATCTGTCCCAAGGGCTATATATTACCCTGTACTCTCCTCCCCATTATTATTTTCAGCCACTGAACCATACTGGGCTGTAGGACCTTAACGTTTAAGCTTTGGGTACTCAGAGTTCAACATGTTTAATCTTTAATTACCTGAGTGGGGTTTATCCCCTGATAGGTGCACAATCCCTGTGATGGTGATGGTGTCCTCCTCATAAAAGACCAGCACTTAAGATGGTGTTAACCCAGATAGGGCACAGCAGGGAACATAAGGGGAAACGCAGAAGACGGACCTGTTATCGGAGCCAGGTGCAAGCGGCTTTTACACTGTATTTATTGTCTTTACCGTGGTACAATGGCTGTGAACGATAGGCAGTACTTGCTGACCGCTTACTTTGGGCCCCTCTCTACCCTGTGGCGATACCATCTCTCTCTCCAGGCCGGCCTCTTCGCCTCCGGCTGGGACGCCTAGGCCCGCGGTTCCAGGGGATCTGTGGCCCGGAGACCGTCCTCTGCGGAGGCCGGGGGAGGGGCCGCGGCAGCACAGCCACTCACAGCTTCCGTCACTGACGTCACGTCTGTCCGAGCGAGTGCTTCCGGGCGGAGGTTACCATGGCGGCGGCCTTGGCTCGGCTTGGGCTCCGGGCTGTCAAGGAAGTTCGGGTTCAGTTCTGTCCCTTCGAGAAGAACGTGGAGTCGACGAGGTATGGGGTGGTGGTGCGGGGTGAGAGGGATGGAAAGGGACGCATCTCTGTCCGGCTGAGGGTCTAGCCTCTCTTCCGCCCGGCGCTTACGTCGCTTTCCCACCGCAGGACCTTCCTCCAGGCGGTGAGCAGCGAGAAGGTCCGCGCCACCAACTTGAACTGCTCAGTGATTGCGGACGTGAGGCACGACGGCTCCGAACCCTGCGTGGACGTGCTTTTCGGTGGGCTCGCTTGGGGAGTCGGGCGGCAGTCTGCACCCTCTCGGCCCTGATGTCCTCCTCGTACCTGATTCGTTCGTTTCTTCCGTAGGAGACGGGCATCGCCTGATTTTGCGCGGCACCCACCTCACTGCCCAAGAAATGCTCACTACCTTCGCCTCCCACATCCAGGCCAGGGGTGTGGTGGGGAGCGGGGACAAGCCTGGCGCTGGTGCGGGTCGCTGACAGCGCGTAAGAGACCAACAGATTTTAACCTGGGACTGACCAGGACACTTATCCAAGAAAAGCTGAACTTAACCATTTAAATCACTATCTGGAGGGTCATAGTGAGCCCCCCCCCCCCCCCACCACCACCAGAAAAAAAAGAGCCCCGTGACTACAAATCTAACCAGTGCTTCTGGGAGGAGACAGGATCCAGGAGGGGTCTGGACGAACTTGAATTTAGTTCATTTTCTAATCATCACTCACTTTTTAACTGTTTTGAATTTGGCTCCCCCCCGCCACTCCCTCATGATACTTCTTACTCTTATTAGCTAAATCCAGTGCTGTTTGTTGGTTTTTTTTTCAGCCTTCATCTTTCCATCTCAGTAGCATTTGCCACTTTTAATTCACTCCCTGTGGAACTTCTCTTTTTAATTTTTCTTCTCTTAACCATAAAGGCAAACTTTTTTGTCTTCTCTATTTAGGGGGCATCTCATCTTCTGTCCTAACTTGAACTACCCTCTTGGGTTAAACCCAGCATTTCTCTTTTGATCTCATCTCAACTTCTGTGCTACAGTCAGGTTACCTACTACCAATTTTCTCTAAATCCTACAAATACTCTTTGTCCAAAATAGAATTGATAATCTTACATACACGTATACTTGCCTCTCCCCCTGACTTCCCCATTCCTTTTAAAGGCACTTCATCTGCTCAGCCACCTGGCCTGGAAATCACAGCATTATCTCTGATTCTGCTGTCTCCTTTTCCCTGCATATCCAGCCAGTAAGTTCAGAATGTTCCATCTTAAACAAAAGCTCCTGAAATGTTCTCTTCATTCCCTTCACTCCCCTGTATTATTGTTGCATTCTCCTACCCTGTCTCCTTTTTTCTCATCATTTTTGCTGCTATCTAATTTTATATTTCCAAACCACATCACTGGTTTTGTCTCACTACTATTTCAGAGAACAGCACCTAAAGTACTTTTCATATTGAGTTACCACTCATCAGTGTGGATCATGAAATCAATTTAGGAGGTTAAATCAGCCTTTAATAAGTAAAGTAAAATAGCCCTGGCCAGTCGCTCAGTGGTTAGAGCGTTGGCCTGCGGTCCAGAGAGACCCGGGTTCGGTTCCTGCTAAGCACGTATACCTCAGCTGCAGTTTGTCCCTGGCCCTGGTTGGGTTGTGTGGGTGGTAGCCACTTGATGTGTCCCTTTCACATCAATGCCCCCCCCCATCTGAACAAAAAATGGAAAAATGTCCTCGGGTGAGGATTAAATAAATAAATAAATAAATAAAAATAAAGTAAAATAGAATAATTTGGGGTTGGAAGATGGATGTTTTGTAATCTTGTGTTAATGCACTCTCAACCTGTGTTAATGCATTCTCTGGAAACCTGGCCTACCCAGGTGCATTGAGTGCTTTTTGTATGTGAATAAGGGTTTGTTATCTTTTGACTTCAAAGTTTCTTCCCCTAAAAAGCAAGAGACAAAGCTAGGGTGTATGGTTTGCAGAAACTCCATCTCAAGGAAATAATTTGTAACCTGGGGGTACCAATCTGCAAATAAGTGGGACAGCGTCCAAAGATCTGGAGCATCTGCTCCCTTGCAAAGCATTTCCCCCTCACTCCAAGCAGTGTGTGCTTGTAGTTTCATTGTGTTGCACCAATCCTGGCAGGCAGGCTGAGAGATGGCAGAATAAAAAGTAACAGTGCATGGCACATGGAATGGGAAGTATTCTTTTAAGAAATTTAAGTTCTAAATATATAATTATGGCCTTGTCCGGTTTGGCTTAGCAGTTAGAGTGTCGGCCTGCAGTCCAGAGAGACCTGGGTTCAGTTCCTGCTAAGGGCACGCACCTCGGTTGTAGTTTGTCCCTGGCCCTGGTTGGTCGTGTGGGTGGCAACCACTCGCTGTGGCCCTTTCATATTGATGTATCTCTCTCTCTCTCTCTCTTCCTCCCACTCTGAACAAAAAATGGAAAAATTCTTGGGTGAGGATAAAAAATATGTATATATATAATTATGAATCTATGTGTGTATGTAGATATATATAAAGTGTGTATGTGTGTGTATTTCATGTACTTAATTGCAATATAGAATTTTTCTTTTTTTTTGCTCTGGGTTATAGGAAAAGATGGTTGCTAGCCAATCAAGGATATCAAGACACTGCCTGCTGGGTAACTTCCCAAATACATTTTTCATAACTCCTACAGCATCACTACACTGCTTCTCTGCTTAAAGGGGTGCTATCTTCAAAGGGCTGTTTTTTTCCCCTATCCCTTTATAAGAAAGAAAACTACCAGGAGGCAGTATAGTGTAGTAAAAATCCAAAGTGCCTGGGAAGCTTTGCCCTTAAGTAACTGTGTAACTTTGAACAAATTACTTGTCTCTCAGTGCCTCTTTCCTCATTTGTAAAATGGGGATAATAGTACCTACCTTGTAAGACTGTTGAGAGGATTAAATGAATTGACATCTGTTAAGCACATAGAGCATTACTGGGAATGAAATATGTGTTATGTGAAAGGCCTTATTGTCCTGCTTTGTGTACACCATGAGAAGACAGGGTTCTTTGGAAGACACATTAATGCTGGGGAAAATAGAAGGCAGCAGGAAAAGAGGAAGACCAAATGTGAGGTGAATTGACTCCATAAAAGCAGCCATAGGCATGAGTTTACAGGAGTTGAGCAGGGCTGTTGAGGACAGGACAATGGAGACAAAACTCATTCATGGCTTGCCAGGAGTCTGAGCCATCTCAGTGGCATGTAATTAATACACAAGAAGCTTTATGCTACAGTAGAAGTTTTACCCTAGATTTGAATTTCCCAGCTCTGTGGTTAATTGGTTATTATCTTTGGCCAGACGTAAGCACTCCTCATATTTATTTATTTAGTTAGTTAATCCTCAGCCAAGTATATTTTTTCCATTGATTTTTAGAGAGTGGAATGGAGGGAAGGATGGAGTGGGGGAGAGCGATATGTATTGGTTGCGTCTGGCATGCTCCCCAACCCAGGTATGAGCCCTTGACTAGGAATCGAACCCACAACCCTTCAGTGCATAGGCCAACATTCTAACCACTGAGCCACACAAGCCATGCAAGCACTCCTCATTTTTTAAGTGGGGATGATTCATACATTGCTGTAAACATGTGAACTTGAGGTTGGGGCTGATTGGGGCTGTTTTTATCTGTCCTCAGCACCTTGCATAGTGCCTGATGTGCAATAAACATTTGTTGAATTTACAAATATTTAGCATCTACCTTGTGCCTATAACTTTTATTAGTACTAAGCTACAAAGATGAATAATAAAATTCAGTCATATTATAAGTGCTGCAATAGAGATGTGGACCAGGTGCAATTGTAGCAAGAAAAACGACTGACCGTGGGCTTGGTTAGAAGATGATTGTTTTATTTTCTTTATTGATTTTTTTTTTTGAGAGAGAGAAAAACATCAATGAGAGAGGACATCAATTGGCCACCTCCTGCATGCCCCCCACTGGGTGTTGGGCCCACAACCTGGGCATGTGTCCTGACCGGGAATTGAACCAGTGACCTCTAGGTGCATGGGTCGTCGCTCAACCACTGAGCCACACCAACTGGGCTGAAGGTGATTGTTGAATGAGCAAAAACTCTACCAGTGCAGGATGGGGCCAGAAATTGGGTTATGGTGAAATAGGAGTGGACAGGCAGCATGAAGTATTTTATATAATGAGTTTCCATGGGAGATGAGAATAGCTAGAGTAGCATAAGGGTGTGAAGTCTTTTTTTTTTTTTTTAAATCCTCACTCGGGGGCATTTTTGCATTTATCTTCAGATGGAGTGGGAGGGAGAGAGGGAGGAAAAGAGAGAGACACATCGACTGATTGCCACCCACACGACCCCAACAGGGGCCTGGGCAAACTGCAACCGAAGTATGTGCCCTTAGCGGGAACCAAATCTGGGACTCTCTGGTCCATGGGCCAGCGCTCTAAACGCTGAGCCAAAATGGCTAGGGCAAGATTTTTATTTTTTATTGATTTTAGAGAGGGAAACATCAGTGTGAGAGAGAAACATTAATTGGTTGCCTCCCACACGTGCCCCCATTGGGATCAAACCCATAATCTGGGTATGTGCCCTGACCGGAAATTGAACCTGTCACCTTTTGGTGTATGGGAAGACGCTCACAACCAGCTGAGCCACACCAGCCAGGGAAAGATAATATCTTGACCTAAGTTATGTTTCAGTTCCTGAATCCTAAGGTGGAGCACCCCCTGGCTACTTTCCTATGAAACCAGACAGAGGGACCTGGGAACACACGTTAGAGCTGCCCTCAAGACCTGAAGAAATAATTCATTACCCTTACCTCCAACCAATAAACTCCCAGCAGGACCCAGATCCTTAATCCACAGTGTTTTGTGATCTTGCCCTATATCAGGGGGTGCAAAATGTCTGGCCCTGCCAAGGCAACTGCAGGTGGGACTCGAAATTCAATAAATCTAGGAGCTTTTTTCATAGCAACATAATTTATATTAAGTGAATCATAATAATGTAAATTTTGAGGAACAAGCAAGGAACATCCATTACAGGATAGGACACATACAAGTACATGACAGGACAGACACATATGCTTCTCATCAGCTGCCTGCGGCCTGTCTGTGGTGACTCAGGATAGTCTGTGCCAGGCAGGCTGGGGGAAAAATATCTTCGGGTGAGGAATAAAACAACAAAAATAAAACTTAAGTGGTGTGCCATCAAATGGTGACTACAAAGAAAATTGATGGAGAGTGTCGATCTTTCCAAGTGATTATTTTTTGTTGAATTCAAAGGTAAACCTGTGTGCCTAGTTTGTGGTAATGTGTTAGCAGTAGTGAAAAAAGCCAATCTGGAGCATCATTACATGCTAAACTCAATGAATTGGAAGGTCAAATGTGTCTGGATAAAATCAATGCTCTTCAGTGGAGTTTGGAATCGCAGCAAGCTGCTTTCACTAGGCTTTGTTGTGACAGACAACCATATTCGGACAAGTTATGTAGTGAGCTAATTGCTAAGAAGCTGAGGCCTCGTGTAGAGGGAGAGTTTGTAAAAGAGTGCATAGTGGTTGCTGCAGAGTAGTTAGCACCAAAGTAAAATTGTTTCAGAGTGTTAGTTTGTCTCAGAGAACCATCTCTGATCCTAGAAAGGACAGGATATAAGTCTACTGAGATCCATTGAGCAACTAATAGAGTGACTGAAGGAAGAGTGTAGGATTTCCATTGTGGGGGAAGGGGTGTACAGGAGGTGAGGACAAGGATGGAGAGGAGTGGAGCCAGGATTTGGAGGGGTTGGGATACTCTTACCCCCTGGGAACCCTGGGGATACTGGAATGAGGACAAAGGCCTTCTATGACACTTGAATATGCTGGTGAATGTGCGAAAGTAATTGAGACATTTAATGAAAAATTCAAGTACGTGAAAAGTAAACAAATGGAATTGGACACCTGTTCAATGTGGAACCAGCTGTTGTGCCTGATAACCTATAATACAAAATCAATCAGCTGCAAAGCGATGATGAGCTAAAAGCTAGGTACAACACCCTCCTACTGCTTGAGTTCTATAAACATTACATAAAATGATGAATTTCCCACTTTGAAGAGACATACATTGAAAATATGCATCTGTGTTCAGAATAACACTGCTGTGAGCAGTTCTTGTTCTTTTTTTTCTTTTTTTCTTTATTGATTTTAGAGAGAGAGGAAGGAAGAGGAAGAGAGAGATAGAAACATCACTGAGAGAGAACATGCCTTCTACATGCCCCTCACTGGGGATCAGGTCCACAACCTGGGCATGTGCCCTGACCAGGAATCAAACCTGCGACCTCTTTGTGCATGGGTCAATGCTCAACCACTGAGCCACACCGATTGGGCTGAGCAGTTCTTTTCAAAACTTACCATTGAAAGAGTCAAGTGTGCTCCAAACTGACCAGTGCAAACCTGGAAAAACAGTTGTGAGTATTAACATCATTAATACCAGCTAACATCACACGCCTCACCAAAGAGAAGCAGTAGCCATTACATTAGGGGTGCGTTAAATAAATGCTTGGCCAAATATAGCAAACTAATTTTTAAGTTGATAATTTTGTGCTGCCTTCAAATGATGTTATAAATATTCAAATGGCCCATGGCAGAAAAAAGGTTCCCCACCCCTGCCCTATATAATCTGTAACCTACAGGCCCTGCGGTATCTTGGCTTTCCGACTTTTGAGCAATAGCTTACCATTTCTCCTGCGTGGCGTCATTCATGAATAAAATAACCTATACTTCTCTACTGCAATTCTGTGTTTAGCTCCGCTAGTGCCAGGGGTTGGAACTCTTTATATTGTTACAGTGTGTGTGTGGGGGGGGGGGGGCAGTGTTAATGGTAAAACACTCAGGATAGCATCTCAGGTATATACGTGTGTTTATATTTATTTATATATAAAATATTTATTTTAAAATATACTTAAAAATGCCTAATGTGAGATTGGGTTTTTTCCCCACTAGCCTGTGGACTTGGTGAAGACACCAAATGAGCGCTGACCCAGGGGACACGGTCCAGGTGACCCGATGCGTATGGTGAGCTCTAGGCCAAGCCGGGACGTGGTTCCGGGCTAGGGAGCTTAACCTGACGTAGCGGGGCGGGGCTTCCGGCGAGAGGCGGAAGCGGAGCAGAAGGCGCGGGTGGGTTGGTGCAGCTGACAGATTAGTGGCCCCGAAAGCGCTGCTCTTGAGCTGGGGAGGCGAGGCAAGACCCGGGCTCCTCTGCCGCCTCTCGGAGTTCCTGCGACGCCGATCTCTGTGCCGGGATGGCTCGGGGCGAGCGGCGCCGCCGCGGAGCGCCGACAGATGGAGCGCGGACGGCCGAGGGAGCGACTCGGGGCGGCCCCGCGCGACGGGAAAGCCGCGTCGGCGTGGCCCGTGGCACGGTCGGGGGAGCGGTTCTAGCCATCGTGGCCCTGCCTCTGGCCCTGACCCTGTCGGGAAACTGGCTGCTGGCGTGGCACCGTGCGCGGCGGGCGGTCACGCTGCACTCCGCGCCCCCGGCGCTGCCTCCCGACTCTTCTAGTCCCGCCGTAGCCCCGGACCTCTTCTGGGGCACCTACCGCCCACACGTCTACTTCGGCATGAAGACCCGCAGCCCGCAACCCCTCCTCACCGGTAACCGGGCCCTGGCAGGCAGGCAGGCGAAGTCTTAATCTGGGCGCCCCAGCTTTACGCCAGGGCAAGGGTGGGGAGGAGTGGATCAGGAGAGTTATGAAGAGGGATGATCCTGGAGTTCTTGTAGACACAGAGGGACAGGATCGCTGCTCTCTCTTTGACTTACATGGCCATTCTACCCCCAGGACTGATGTGGGCACAGCAAGGCACCACCCCAGGGACCCCTAAGCTCAGGCACACGTGTGAGCAGGGTGACGGCGTGGGTCCCTATGGCTGGGAGTTCCACGACGGTCTCTCCTTCGGGCGGCAACACATCCAGGATGGGGCCTTAAGGCTCACCACTGAATTCGTCAAGAGACCTGGGGGTCAGCACGGAGGGGACTGGAGCTGGAGAGTGACTGTAGAGCCTCAGGTCAGGGCCTCAGGACACCCTTCCCCTAGCCCAGACTCCCTCCACCCTTCCTTTGCTGCCAGCAAATGCAGTATGAAGTGTGGGGGTGGGTAACAGCAGGAGCTCTGAGTCTGGCCCTCTGGTTCTTAATCTGGTCGCCTGCCTTAAACACTTGCCTATAAGACCCCCTCTATTTACTGTGTCTAAGCCTTGGTTTCCTTTTTTATAAAATGGAGATAAAAATAGCACCTAACTCACAGGACTGTAAGAATTAAAGGAAATAATATGTAGAGTTCTTAGCATAATACATGGCACAGAAATACTCTATTTCCCAGAGAACTCTGTGCAGGGATCTTTATCTCATCTCACTGGGTGCTGGCCCTCAGTGACCCTCAACACTGCCAGATATATGTTGTTTCTCATGTTGCCCCAACTTCATGCCCCTTTTTCTCACCAAGTCTGATTTTCAAGGAAGAATGTCAATCTAATGCTATGTTTTTCTGTCCTTGGTCATCTAGGCCTCAGGTACCTCTGCCCTCCCTTTGGTGTCCCTGTTCTTCTATGTGGTGACAGATGGCAAAGAAGTCCTAGTGCCAGAGGTCGGGGCTAAGGGGCAGTTGAAGTTCATCAGTGGGCACTCCACTGAACTTGGTGACTTTCGTTTTACACTTATGGCACCAACCAGTCCAGGAGATACTGCTCCCAAATATGGCAGGTAACTAGGGGGAAAGTGTGGGGTGGTGGTAGGGGTGGTATGGATGCTGACTTAGCCTGATTTCTATCTCCTCCACTCTACCCTCTTTCCACCAGTTATTTCCTTCTTATCGGGCTCCATGTCCCCTATATTGCCAAGACCTTCCCATCCTAACTCCTTATCACCTCGTATTTCTCTTTATAATCCCTCCTACTTCCTCCTGGATAATATTTCCTATTTATCTTCTTCCCTTCAAGCTACAATGTCTTCTGGTCCTCCAATCCAGGACTTCCCTTGCTGACAGAGATGGTGAAGAGTCACCTAAATAGCTGGTTTCAGCACCGGCCCCCAGGGACCTCCCCTGATCGTTACCTTGGCTTGCCAGGATCTCTGAAATGGGAGGACAGAGGCCCAAATGGGCAAGGACAAGGACAAGGACAATTCTTGATACAACAGGTGACAGTGAAAGTCCCTTTTTCTGTGGAGCTGGTGTTTGAATCAGGCAGTGCCCAAGCAGGAGGAAACCAAGCCCTGGGGCAGCTGGCAGGCAGCCTGCTGACCCAGGCCCTGGAGAGCCATGCTGAAGCCTTTAGAGAGCGCTTTGAGAAGACCTTCCAGTTACAGAAGAAGGGACTGAGCCCTGAGGAGCAAGCTTTGGGTCAGGCTGCCCTCAGCGGTCTCCTTGGTGGAATCGGCTACTTCTATGGACAGGGTCTTGTATTGCCAGACATGAAGGTTGAGGAGTCTAAGCAGAAGGTGGCCCCAGCCCTCTTTCCACCTGTCCCTCTTTTCACAGCAGTGCCCTCCCGGTCATTCTTCCCACGAGGCTTCCTTTGGGATGAAGGCTTTCACCAGCTATTGGTTCAGCGGTGGGATCCCCGTCTCACCCAGGAGGCCCTAGGCCACTGGCTGGGGCTACTTAATGCAGATGGCTGGATTGGACGGGAGCAGGTGCTGGGGGATGAGGCCCGAGTCCGGGTACCCCCAGAATTCCTGGTGCAACGAGCAGCCCATGCCAACCCCCCAACCCTGCTTTTGCCTGTAGCCCACATGCTAAAGGGTGGTGATCCTGCTGACTTAGCCTTCCTCCGCAGGGCCTTCCCTCGCCTATATGCCTGGTTCTCCTGGCTCCATCAGAGCCAGGCAGGGCCAGTGCCACTATCTTACCGCTGGCGGGGTCGGGACCCAGCCTTGCCAACCCTATTAAACCCCAAGACACTGCCTTCAGGGCTGGATGACTATCCCCGTGCTTCACACCCTTCAGCCACTGAACGGCACCTGGACCTGTGGTGCTGGGTGTCACTGGGTGCCCACGTGCTGGTGCAGCTAGCAGAGCAGCTGGGAGAGTCTGAGGCAGCTGCGGAGCTGGGCCCACTGGCTGCCTCACTGGGGGCAGAGATCCTGGATGAGCTACACTGGGCCCCAGAACTAGGAATCTTTGCAGACTTTGGGAACCACACAAAAGCAGTGCAGCTGAAGTCTCGGCCCTCTCAGGGGCTGGTGCGGGTGGTGGGCCGGCCCCACCCTCGCTTACAATATGTGGATGCCTTGGGCTATGTCAGTCTCTTTCCCTTACTGCTGCAGCTGCTGGACCCTCACTCATCTCGCCTTGGGCCGCTACTGGATGTTCTAGCTGACAGTCGCCATCTCTGGAGCCCCTTTGGTTTGCGCTCCCTTGCAGCCTCCAGCCCCTTTTATGGCCAGCGCAATTCAGAGCATGATCCTCCCTACTGGCGGGGTGCTGTGTGGCTCAATGTCAACTACCTGGCTTTAGGGGCTCTCCACCACTATGCACTTCTGGAGGGTCCTCACCAAGCCCGGGCTGCCAAGCTCCACAGTGAGCTCCGTGCCAATGTGGTGGGCAATGTGTTGCGGCAATACCAGGCCACAGGTTTCCTGTGGGAGCAGTACAATGACCGGGACGGGCGGGGCATGGGCTGCCGCCCTTTCCAGGGTTGGACCAGCCTTGTCCTACTGGCCATGGCTGAAGACTACTAAAGGGAGAGGGTGGGAGGGGAGCCAGGACCCTTGTACCACTTTGGACTAGAGGGACCAGGTCTTTAGCTTCTGCCTCCAACCCTCAGATACTAGTGCTTCAAACCCTCATCTCAGGTGTCTCCTTACTATCATCCCATACAACCCTGGGGTGAATGTGAATTCAGAATTTATTTTTCTAAATAAATTGGAAAATAGTGCCAAATTATTGCTTCGCCTCACCAAGAGGTCTTAGCTCAATTCAGGCCTCAGGGCTGCCTGCTGTCCTTCAAAGAAGGTGGGAAAAGTGGCCATTACCTGTCCCCTCCAAGTCCAGTCAGTCAAGTGTAATGAAGTGAGTTGAGCACTAGTCCACCCAAATCCACAAGCAGTTGGTTCACATCTCTTTAATGAGATCAAAGGCTCCTGTGTATGTCATTGGGGTAGAGCTAGTACAGTCCCCCAAACACAGCCCCTCTCCTCAGGACTCCAGCCCTTTCAGACAGATTCTAGGAGGGCATGGAGAGGCCAAGGAGAACTCAAGGAGTTGGGACCAGGGCTACCCTCCCAAAACTGCTTATGGGATGTCCCCTTCACTGGAAGCCAGCCCCACAGAAGAAACTTGGGGTATGGGATCTAGGGGCAGTGTACAAGGGGAGTGGTCCCCCAGATCTGGCTGAGTGACACTAGCCCTAGCCTCCTTGACTGGCTCACTCTCACTAGAGTCAGGACAAGGGCAGAGCTCGATACCCGAGTCACCAGTCAGGCGGCGATAGCGGCAAGAGGGGGGTGTGGGCGCAGGGCTCATCCCTGCTCCAGGCTCACCCTCCTGATGTGGGGGGGCACTCTGGTGGGAGGAAACACCTTCCACATTTGTTCCCTCGCAGTGGGCAGGGCAGCTAGAAGTGGAGGAGCAGCAGGTACATTCCCTGGAAGCAGTCAAGGGGCAGCCTGGGACCGAAGTGTAAGGAGGTGGTGGTGTGCCCGGGCGGTGAACCACATCCTCATAGGCTGGGGGTTTGAAGGCGCTGAGGAGGCCTGCAAGAAAGAATGGCATGGTTGGTTGAAGACAATCGGGTGAGGTGGTGGTGTCTTTATTATTAGGGAAGAGTGTGCTTTGAAATGTCTGAAAACAAAATGGGATAATTCAGAGTCCTCATTTGGGAGGGGCCACTGGTAGTGAGCCCAGAGCCTCAAGTCACTCACGAAGGTCAAGCAGTGAACCAGTAGGAACAGGGCCAGCCCCATGGCATGCCCCATGGTAGGCCAACAAGTTGATCTCACGCTGCCGCTGCTGTTGCTGCAACCGGAGTTTAGCTCGTCGATGACGGAAGGCGCAACAGCAGCTAAAGAGGATAAGGACAGTCCAGAGCAGCCAGAACCCTGGAGGGGGTCAAAAGGGAGAATTTTAGATATCTCCTCTAGAGAAGGGTCCCTGAAGGCTAGAATTCTGAGGTCCAAGGGAGGGTAGGCAGAAGGACCCAAGAATAGCCCCTGTGGAGACTCACACCAGAGCTCATAGTAGTAGGTGCAGCAGCCAGTCTCCCCACAGCAGTGACCACTCTCACAGAGGTAGGGCTGGTTGTTCACTCCTGGGCAAACCTCTCGAAGCTGGGAGCAAGGAGGTACTCAGAACCAGGGCAGACTCCAGCCCAAGGCACTGTCCACCCCCACACCCAGCCCCTGCATGCACATCCACAGTCCCACCCTGTGATCCAAATTTAGCACAGAGAGATCTATGAGGAGGGGAGTGATGCTGAGAGGAGTGTTCAAATGTCTGAAGGGTTCAATATGGAAGAGGATTTGGAATAGCAAAAATCAGTCTAGAGAACAAGATGAAGATGTGGACATACAGAGAGGCATATTTCAGCTTTTGCATATAGACTGGCTGCCAGGGTATTTTCTGTAAAGCGAGTGTTTTGGCAGAAGCCAGAAAGTCTGAGCAATCTCAAAGTCTTGGACAATGGATAAAGGGTTTAAAGTAATTTCCAAAGTTAAGATGCTTTCATCATCTCCTAGGGTCTGCCACTCCCCATCCCCAAGGTGGATCTTTCCACCCCTGGGTCTCAGACTTCCTAGGGTAGAGGAGGGGCAGTGTGAGACCCAGAGCAGTGCTCCCAACCAGATGGGATTGCTGTGGATGATAAAGGATGGCATCCAGGGCGCGAGTCTGGGTTCCAGCTCTTCTCCAAATTGCTGCCTCAAGAGAAGACGCTGCTGGACTCTGTTGTGACAATAGGCACACAGAAAAACATCACAAATAACTGTTGCAAGACAGAGGGAGCCTTTGTGGGGCCTCACTATGCCTCTGGTCACTGGAAAGCCACTGCAAGCTCCCAATGTAGCAATGGGATGGGTCTATGAAGCTGCAGGCAAAGCCAACTGTATCTACCTTACAAAGTTTAAACAAAGAGTGGAGGGGGCATATTTAGGAACTTCACAATACCTTTGGCTCGTGAGTTCCTCCCCTACCCCGGCCCCCCCACCCCCAAGGTAGGGACAGGAAAGGGGAAAGGGAAATAGATGGCTGTCGGGATTCGCTTTTGGAGCTGTTGGGATACCTGCTGTTGCGGCACCCGAAGTGCCCCCCAGGCCTCCTCGCTGCCGTTCCCGCTGCTGGCCCGAGCCATGCCTCCACCTACAGCCCTCTGAAGACTACAGCCTCCTCTACCGCCAGCCGCCCCGCCCCTGCCACCTCTGCCGCCACCGCCATGGTCCCTGCCCGGCCCATCTTCCCTGCCGCCACCATCACTCCGCGGCCGGAGCTCCCATCCGGGGAGAGCTCTGCCAACTAGGAGCCAGGTTGCTCCGTCCTACCAATCAGTATCGCCCTGTAGCAAACGGGCCAATAGGAGCGGATCAGAGGTTTCGGCCAGTGGCCAATCCACAGCAACGCCTCTGCTACTCTCCCAGACAACAAGAGCTCTCCCAGACAAAGAGTGGGAAAGGTTCGACCCACCGCCCTGACTGACAGCGACAATAGCCAACATGACAACAGAACAGGCTTCGAGCTACCAACCAATGACGGCCACCCAGAAGAGCAAACTTCCCGCTGATTGGTTTGAGCCCTGTCTCCAGGTTGACGCCAAAAGCCCGACCACACCAGGTAATCCCAGTGGAAGAAGTGGGGGTCCCAAAAGTCGGCGGGAATCTGGGCGCTTGCAGCCAGCCTTCCTGCAGCCTGGCCTGGTGGACATTTCCCAGGCGTCAACGCTAACCCCGATGGGAGCAAGATTTGTGTACGAGGAATTGGCTTCCCATACCCCATTCCCCCAATTCTGTAAATTATGTACAAGTCGAGGCACCGGATGAAATTTAATAGGGTAGGGAAGACACTGAAATCCGGGCAGGGGAGAGGGCTCAGAGTCCTGGTGAAGAGCCTTAAGTAGCCAAAAGGGGGGACCCGGGGCCTTCGGGCCCCCCCAGCCGCATCTGCAGGTTGATACGGTAGCACTGAAGGCTGCAGAGCGCCTGGCCCGTGCGGGAGCAAGCGTAGCGGCGGGGGTGCGGGCAGCCAGGGACAGAGCATCTCGGAGGAGGGCTGGGCGGGGGTGGCCGCTGAGACACTGGTGCAGGGGTGGGGACTCCAGGTGGGAAGGAAAGAGTAGAACCCTGTGCCCCGCTGCTGTAGCGCACCATGGGGGCAGGGGCTGCGGCCCGCCCTCCCCGCCGCTCTCCTCTAGCGGCCCCTCGGCCTCCACGCCCGCTAGGCGCTGCAGTCTTGGTGAGGCGCTCGATAGTCTGGTTCTTGTGCTCCTCCGCCCGCCGCGCCGCCTGCAGCCGCCTCTTACGCGCCCGCTCCTCCCGCTTCAGCAGCATCTCCTCGGTGAGGGCGGGGGCCGGGCAGTTCCCAGACACAGGCAGCGGCAGCATCGGGGAAGGCTGACTCTGCGCCTTCTGAAGCAGAGCTCGCTGGGGAGAGACAGGGGGGTGGTGTCAGAAAATGGATAAGCGAGGTCTGTGAGGAGGGGGAAGAGGAAACGTGGAAAGTAAGGGTCTTAAGGACCTCAAGAATGAGCACCCTTTCCAGAAGCTCTTAATACTGCCTCCTCCCAGTTTTCCAGACTTTCAGTTTTAGATCCTTGACTCTCAAAGGCAAGAGTATTAGTACTGTAACTGCTTGCCCTGTGTACCAAATTCTCTGCACCACATTTCCGGGAATTTTTTTGTTTGTTGTTTTAAATCTTTTTATTGCAAAGAATAGCATCAATTAGATAACTGCTCAATGCCTGAAAAAGCTCCTGTGGTATTAAGAATGTTATCTTTTCAAAGAGGTCTCCCCTCCCCATCTAATGTCTCTTTCCCACCACTGTTTCATTGTCCTATTTTTGTTATAAACTTAATGGCTTTTCAAAATTATTTCCTTATTTGCTGCCACCCTCCCCCCCCCCCCCAATGCACACTCTGAATTCCAGTTCCATGAGAAAAGAAATATTCTTTTCTCCATCACTGATAGCTCCACTGCCCAGCAAAGTTAAGTTCTTTGGACATGGAAGGTTCTCTAAATATTTGGTAACTGAATAATGAACCAACTTACCTGTCGAGCAGTGAGCAGTCGTTCATTGATCTCCTTTTTGAGATCTCCATTGTCATCCAGCTCCCCCTTCTCCAGGGCATCCAGCCACCTCTGTTCCTCCTCTTCTTCCTGACCTCCTAAGTCCCCCGACAGGTCACGAAGTGGGGAGGGGGACAAATTACTGTCTTCATCTGGAGAGAGAAAAGTAGAATTATTCAGATGCAGCACCCAAATTTGGCCAAGTTAACACTGGGACACTAAAAATTTTCACTCTCCTCAGAAGCAACCTTCTCCCTTTAATCGGGTATAATGAGAAACCCTGTTTCCCCACCTCCAGATCCTTCTTACCCAGCCAGGCACGGTACTGCTCAAGGGGCACTCCTTCCATAGGTTCCTCTTCATTGTCCACAACCATAAGGGGGGAGGGCGACCGAGGGCCTTCAGGGATCACAGTGAAGGTAGGAACACTGCAGTGAAGCAACACCACTCTGTAAGCTGAGCCTGAGTGCTATATCCAGCTTTCCCCACACCCTCAAGGGTTCTTTCTGGACGCTGAAATCAGTGTCCATTCTCTGTCTTCTGGAAAGCCCTGTCAGCTTCTCCATCTTTCTTTGACTGCTCCTAAAGTTCCCCAAATAAACCTTGGGTTTCTTGGCCTCACCTCTTGGTGCCCAGCACCTGCCCACCCAGCTTGATTTTG